TTAATAGATTGTGTAAACAACTGCTAATGGACACTGTGTTCAAATATCAGTGGAACAAATTCGTGTTGCAGACAAACTGGTAGTGAGCTAGACAGCTCCCACTAACTCCGTGAGCTTAACACATCTCCCACTAGCTCCGTGAACTAATCTAAACTCCTACTATCTAATCTCAGCTCCACTGAGCTTAACGCTCTGCTAGCTCAGCCACAAGCTTAACACTGCTATTGTGTCCATTTTAAAAGCTTAAAAACTCCGACCATCACATACCACCCCACCCCTTGCTGGTGAACCCCGACCCCCCAGACCCCATACAGGGGGAAATCATTAACCAGATTAAAATTAGTTAATGGTTTGTTTATTTCGAGACGACATTGATGTCATCAACACAAATACAATTACCGAACCCCGAGCGAACCCCCGTGGTGAACCCATCATTTACCGTTCAATACACCCTCCGTTTTGTTTTTTTTACTAGACGGAACATGCTACTTTTGTTAATCATTTTAAATCTGTTTTTTAGTTGTTCTGTTTTTACCTCTCTAGCACGTATTATATAACACTAAGGAATATGAACGTGGTTATTCATTTTTATATTATGTCACATGAGTAAGAATAGTGGGAGAGAGTTGTTATACAATACTGTATTGATTTGTGTTATTTTTATATTATTTATTCCTGTTTTTAATTATGTTTTTGAATCTCCAATAATAATTATTAGTAGTAAAAGTAGAAAGTGTGCTGCGTGGTTGGGAAGTAGAGGGCACGACTGCTAGCCCGAAAGTCTTGAGTTCGGATCACTGGCTCGAATCCGTAGTACGTTCCTAAATCCGCTCAGCTGTAATAGGTAGCTGACCTTAGGGTAAATAAGGGTGACTGGGCATTGAACTGACCACACCATTCCCTTTCTTAGTCGCCTGCACATGTAATGGTTGTTGACAAATGTAAAACAACTATTCAACCTCGACGTGAAAGTAACATTTTGTTTTTGTCTGTCAAATTCCTAATTACCTCCCTTGGTGATGTTTCCATGAGTTACTTCCCTGTCTGTGTGACTTTTGTTGCCGTATTCAGCCTCGAGACAATGGGGCTGTTGTTTAGGGGATCAATACTTTCGTGACGTCAGGGAAGGGGTGAGGAGGAGGAAGTCAGAGTCGAGGTTGTGTGGGGAGGAGGGAAAGGTGGGGTTGTGTGTGGAGGGAAAGTGGAAGTTATGTGGGTATGGGGTAAAAGAGGTGGGGGGGGGGGGAGGGAAAAGAATGGTTTTGTGGGTATGAGGAAAAGGGGGAGGGGTTGCATGGGTAGGAAAGAAAGAGGAGGGGGGGGTTGCGTGGTGAGAATGACTACTCATGGTCTAACACAATGTTATGAATTAAAATTGGTTTAAATCCATCTGATAAAAATTGAACTAACCGTTCTTATACTTTGTCCATGTATAAAGACAAGCACCTATGTTAGAAATGTTATGTTGATAACTTTACAGTGGGATTGTCGCAAGCACATAAAATATAAAACAAAACAAAAATGGACGTCAAGCTGTCCAATAAGGCGCCGGTACCTAACGATCGTGTAAAGTCGTGATCGATCATTTCAGATCGAACATGATAAATCTGTGAGCTTAAACGGTCACATCACAACCCTACCATCATGTTAACGTGAGCAGACAGTTTGAACATCATGTCTTAGTTGTGTGACAAGCGACGTGTCTTCGTCGTGTGACAAGCGACGTGTCTTAGTTGTGTGACAAGCAACGTGTCTTAGTTGTGTGACAAGCGACGTGTCTTAGTTGTGTGACAAGCAACGTGTCTTAGTTGTGTGACAAGCAACTTGTCTTCGTTGTGCGACAAGCAACGTGTCTTCGTTGTGTGACAAGCAACATGTCTTAATTGTGTGTCAAGCAACGTATTGTTGTTGCTGTTTTAATACCTGCGACACAATTTGACAAAAAATAAACGCATTTGTTTGTGTAGCTACTGTTGTGGTAGGTATATGCTCCAGCTAATCTGAGCTAACTTTCCAGCTATCCTAGCCACCTATTTTGTTATGATAGATCCCTATCCTGTTTAGTTAACTATCTATTCTTTTATATTAAATACAAATCCTGTTATGCTAACTACCTATTTTGTTTAGGTAGCTACCCATTCTGTTGAGTTTGCTAGCTACCTATTTTGTTTTGGAAGCTACCCATTAGCTTCCTATTTTCGATTATGCTACCTATCTTCTATTAGGGAAGCTGTTTTCTGTTTTTATAGCTTCCTGTTCCTTGCTAATGTATTACTAACCATCTTTTAAGGCTCTACGACCCCACCCACCCACCCACTCCTACACAAAGACTTCCAACGTCACAGCTAATTTAAATATCGGTCACCTGGGCGACACAACATATGTGCTAACGATCTATTAAAGTGCTAATTTGTAGCCAGTTTTTAAGTAATAAATCATCCATGATCGCGAAAACGTATTTTTGGCGGGAAAGCAATTTGCCCTAGGGGCTAACGACCAC